CATTGTGTAAGCATTCAGAAGTAATCCACCTCTCCTTCCTTGTCTTAGTCTGGAAGCACAGCTGAAACCTGTCCACCCTGGGTGACCCTGCTGGTATTTAACAGTGGTATAGCTTCCGCATCACAGCAACATGCAAGCCACCACAGTATGACAAACTGACACAAAGAGTGGTGGCTCTGGGTTTTACTTTCTTCATTTGGTGAGGGAAGGTGATCAGGACGCCACTCCCTCTCAGAGAAAAACACAGGGTGGAGGTACAAAGGCTTTCCCGGCCTCCAGAGATTAACAGCACCTTGTACAGTAAGCCAATTCTAGACAAGGTTGTCCACTTTGGCTGCATGCTAGGCACCCAGGGAGCTTTCTAGATATTTTACTTTAAAGTAGGTCTTTTAAAAATGCTCCTTGTGGTTCTAATATGCAATCAGGGCTGAAAACCACTCACTGAACTATAATCTCACTAAGCCAAGTGTGGTCTATGGTCCTCGAATGGCAGCATCGTTTGCCCCTCGCCCCCTCGCCCCTCTGGCCAAGGCTGCTGAACCCAGTCTGCACGTTAGCAAAATCCCCAGGTGAGTCAATGCACATTACAGTGTCTGTGACAAATTTTAGCTTGACAAGGACTGGCATGGACTGTGGGCTTCTGGCTGGGGCAGGGATTTCAGGACAGAGGAGATATGACTCCCACCAGAAAGATGAACATTCAGCATGTAAAACCAAAGGAAGGAGGCCAAGTGGCAAAGTAGCAAAATGAAGTTATGCCAGCCTTGCAGATAGACAGCGGTACTTACCAGCTGAATAACATTCCTAGTGAGAGAAACTTGGGGCACCGTTTTGAGTTTCCTGCTTACTGGCATGCAGTTTTTTCTTTGAATTTGTTTACTTGTTCTCATATATATATTTAGACTGAGCCTCTTTCGGGAGGGTGGAGGCAGGCAGACTGGACCCCATTAGGGTTGGAAATAAAAATAGTCAAGGCCTCCAAGCAGGCTGGTGGCAGCAGAAGTTTCTTAATAAAGAGAAAAGGTGCTTTTACATCAAGTGAGGTGGACCCAGTCACTGCAGTGCTAACAACACTGTGCTTCACCTCAGGCAGCTGCTGAAAGGGTCTCTGAGTGAGTCTGGGTAAAGCTGATGGGAGAGTGGAGTGAATGGATTTACTGTGTGTGCTTTTCCCTGGCCTGGTGCTCCTGGCTCTGCTGCTTGGTTCTCAACCCTAACACCCCTAGTTGAGTCCTCTTCAGTCTGGGAAGAGAGGAGGAGGTACCACAACCTCCCTTGGTGTGAAGACACACATGGGGCGGGGGCGGGGGGGGGGCGCTCAAGGTTATTTTGGCACCATATTCCTGAATGGGGAGACAGAATATGGACCACTGGCTTCTGGGCAAACTTCTTGGATCCTCTACTTGCCCAACACCTCCCCCATGACGAGACTGAGGACCCCACGTAGTGTCAGGTGTGCTCTGAGCCTGGCATGAGCCTGTGTGGGGTGTGGGTACTTGGCACTCAGGTGCAGGATTTTCTCCCATGCTAGGTGGGGGCCAGGAGACTACGTGGAGGGAAGCGAAAGTCAAAATGAGCCATCCAAGCCAAGCCACTAGTGAATCAGGACATCCCAGTTTCTGGATCAGGTGTGGTTTCTGGGTCCCCTGTTGTTGTTGTTGTTGTTGTTAATTGCCGTAGAGTTGATTCTGACTCATAGTGACCCTGTACAGGATTTCTGAGGAGCAGCTGGTGGGTTTGAACCGCCGACCTTGCTGTTCAAGCCATCTGTGGGACCCGGTGCTTTATCTTACACCAGGACCTTTAAGTCTCCTAATTGAAGGGTTATCGCAGGAATTGTCAGTGGGCCATCCTGCCCTCCAGTGGTGTTTGGTGGTAACTGCATCCTCCCAACCCTACTTTTCACAATGGGGCCCAGCTCTGGAGGAACTGGTTTAATCCTCTGCACAGTGGCAGGTGAGGGAGAGGGGTACTGTTCTGCTATTTTGAGCATCTTGACACCTTATAAGATCATCAAAAGGAAGGGAACTAGCATATAAGGAGTACTTGCTTCCCTACACAGAAACAGTTCCTGCCCATGAGTACAGGTTATTGTTGTTGTTAAGTGCCTTCAAGTTGGTTCTGACTCATAGTGACCCTATATAGGGTTTCTGAGGAGCAGCTGGTGAGCTTGAACCACCGATCTTGTGGATTAAAATGACTTTGCAGTATAGTGCATTAACCCACAGCGCCACACCAGAACTTCATAAGTATAGGTAGTCACATTTCACTCTACACCATCTGACTCCTAAAGCCATGCTCCTAATGTGCCACACACTGGTAGAAACGCTTTAGGCCAGGATTTTGCAGGCTCCCACAAGGGCTGGGCAAAAGACTAAAGGATGATAGGCGGAGGGCAAGATAGTAGGGGCTAGTGAGGGCTGTGGCAAACTGAGGGATGTGTGCTTCACGTGAGAAGAATCATTATACAACTCCAGTGGGATACGGTTGAGTGAGAATGCTGAATTAACACTTGAGAAGCTGCAGATCTGGATTTCTATGTAAAAGCTCCCAATTTTTAATTGTTGTTGTTTTTGTTAAGTGCCGTTAAGTCGGATCCGACCCATAGCGAACCTATACAGGGTTTCTGAGGAGCAACTGGTGAGCTTGAACTGCCGACCTTGCAGTTCAAACGGCTTTGCAGTCTGGCATGTTAACCCACAGCGCCACACCAGGAAAGCTCAGGCAAGAGTTAAACATGAAGTTAAGTTGACTATAATGCTACTAGGATTCTGGTTCATACATACACAGGTTTATTCTAAACAAAGCATGTTTAGACATGTCTCTGTGATTAGTAGATGGTTGCAGACAAGTTCTCTCAATTTGAAACTTGTCTTAGTCTCATTGGGTGACTTCAAAAAAACAGTCCAATCAAAAATTGGCTCCTGGCAGTGACGCCAGAGATGTAGGCAGAGATGATGAGGTGGAGTGATGGAGCAGCTGGGGATTCTAGACTCAAGTAGGAGAGGGTCTGTGTGCTGGCGGCCGGGGGGCAGGCTTGCAGGGTATACCCTTTGGTTATTTGAATGGTTATATATTCCTGAGTGCTTCGGTGTACATAAAAAACAACAACAACAACAACAACAAAAAAAAAGGGAATGGAAGCAAATGCTGTTGAATGATGATACATGGAGGGGATTGTAGTCATTGCAATGAAACGAAATACGATAGGATGAATGTAAAGCTGATGGTCTCCCATGTAAGCTATCACTCAATTCACCATAAAAACTTAAAAGAAAAAAGAAAGTGGTTTGTGAGAGGATCTGCTGATCTGTTGGGTCAGTTAAATTCATGGCAGACAGGATATTTTCCACATCACAATAATGCACCTGCTCATTCTTCAAGGCTAGCAAGGACTGTCCTATGAGAATTTTGTTGGCAAACTTTATCCCATCCACCCTACAGCCCTGACCTTGTCCCTTCAGACTTCTTTTTTGTTTCCCAAACTCAAAGATCATTTCAAAGGAACATGATTTGAGTCCCTGGAGAATACCGAACCCGTTGTTTTGATGTGCTTGCTGTTAAGTCGAAGAGTGCAAAATTCTTTGGGGGAAGCGTTGGAGAGATGGAAACACTGCTTTCAGAAATGTATCGACTTGAATATTTTGAGAAACAATAGCTTCATATTTTGATTTAAATAAAGGTTTCAATGACTTTGTAGCAGTCCTTTTTGACTTACCCTCTTACTATGCAAATCCAATACAAAGTATTTCTGTTTCCTCTGAAGATGCTTCTAGAACATACTCATGTTTCAGGTGAGGTGCAGGGAGAGGTGAGGACTTGTCCACGATCACAGGGTCTGTCTCCTAACTCTCAGACCAGTGCTCCTCTTAGCTGCTCTGGGGCAGGGGTGTATCCCTTCCGACCTCGGTGGGGGTGGTACTAAACGTCAGGCTCAGACTAGAGACTGAGAGTTCACCATGTTTATTAGCCAGACCTGGCTTGAGAGTGTAGTGGGGCCATCCTTGGTCCCTCTTGGAAGTGATAAAGAACACTGGCCTCCTCCCAGATCCTGCTGATATAGTGGCCAGATCTAGTGGCTGTGTCTGACTGTCTTGCTCCCTTGACCTGGGTTTCATAGGACAGACATGCCTGTCCATTCCCAAGGTCAGGCTGAACAGGGCGACATCCACTTTACAGGTGGGAAATGCTGAAGCCTCAGGGCTGAGTTTCCGGCCTCCGGTCAGTGCTTGGACCGTCCCCTCCCAGTTCTTGGAGGAAGACTTTCCATGATTTAACTGCTCTGGAAATGCAATCTATAAATACATACTTTGTTTCTAAAATAAGTAATAAATTAGACCTTGGACCAGCTTGAAGGCCAGCCATGTGTCACATGACATGGTTATTTGCCATGTTGTGGTGGTGTGTGCTACCGGGCCAGTTACAACTCCTCATGGCCCTATGTGACCGAGTAGCAATGCCCCATAGAGTTTCCTAGGCTGTAGTATTTACAGAAGCAGACTGCCACAGTTTTCTCCCATGAATAGCTGACTTTTTGGTTAACAGCTGAGTGCTTAACCACTGTGCCACCAAGGTTCCTTATGTACACACCACCAATCATGTGTCCTCCCATGTATGGTGCTGGGACCTGTGCCATTGACTGTATATGCCCCACATATTGTATGCTATGTGCCACAATGCATGTCCCATGTATTGCCACATGTCGAGTCATACTCTGCCACATGTGACCTTCAGATGTCACTCCACATTACATATGGTACTCTCATCATGCCACCTGTTCCCAACTGGTAGCCCATAACTATACGATTTAGGACAGTCTTTTAACCATACAAGGTTCCTGCTCCCCCACAAATGCATTCTGAGGGCTGCAACAGGACAAACAGGCCCCACTCTCTTGGGGCAGATGCAGGACACCCAGTTGAGGGTCCTCCTGGGCCCACCTCCCTGGTGAGTGGGAATGGGCATCACTTGACCGAATCCCAAGGGCTTTGAGGGGGCTGTCAAGTGCTCCGAGGGGCCTGGGGATGGTCTTTGAAGAAGGCAAAGTCCAGCCTGGGCTCCTTGCTCTGCAGACGCTGGGCCACATCAGGGGCGATGAGGTTATTCCAGAGGCTGTGGGAACAGAGACAGACACTCAGCGCTGGGAGCCGCTCACTCCTCCCCATTACTGATGGGGAGACTGAGGCCTGGCAGGGGAGCCATGCCAGAATTACTGGCAGAGACAGGTATCAGACCAATATGGCTGTCCTAGCGAGACGGTACCCCCCCATTCATATCCTGGCTTCTCCTACTCAGTCTTTCCTCCAAAAGTTAATCACCCCAACCCAAATGAAGCTCACAGGACACATTTATGCAAATAAGAAAAAAATTCCCCCACTTTATGACACTTCATGTGCATCTGTTCAAAAGTTGTCTTGTAGACTAGTTTTGATCGAGTAACCATCCACTAGAAAGCTCTCATCTCTACGATGTGGATGGTGCCTCCTTAGATAGTATGTCTTTGTGTAGTGCACAACCAATACACCTGTATAGCTCCCTACCATGTGCCAGGTATTGGGCTCAGTGCTTTCTGCATTCTCAAAGGGTAGACCCTTGAGACAGATACTATGATCATTCCCATTTTATAGAGGTTCAGGATGCAAAGTTGCACAGCTGGCAAATGGCAGATCTGGGTTTTGATCCAGGTCTACTTGCTGCCAAATTCTTGTTGGAGTGAGTCTACTTTCTCCTTTGATAATCCCTATTACCTGTTCCTATGTGTAGTCTTCTTAGATTGTGGGGGTTATGTGGCCACCCACCCACTGCCCAGCCCCTGCAAGCCCCTGTTACCGGATGACTTGGATGCCAGGACCCTGGGCCAGTCCTTCAGCCAGGAGCCAGGCTCCGCAGGCTGTGATCCGATTCTTCTCCAAGCTTCCCAGGACACAGTGGAGACAGAGTAGAGAGAGATTAGCATGAGGTCCTTTCCCCAGGCCAAGTTGAAGGGACACAGGCTTGCCTACTACCTTCTCAGAGGACCACCAGACAACAGTGGACTGGTGGAAGCTGCAGCAGGATGACTTGAGGCTAGACCCCAGGGAGACCTAAGCTTGGCAGGGGCTTGGAGCTGGCCAGAGTGCAAACTCAGGTCTTCCTGCAGGGCTTTCCCTAGGATGTGTCCACCCACCACCAGCCCTCCCACACTCTCTGGCTTCCCAGGGTGTGCCCAGCATACTCTATTCTCTTCAGCCGGCCCATTCGCGGCAGGACCTGGGCCAGTTCAGCAGCCGCCTCGTCCCCGAGGAGATTCCAGGACAGCCTGCAGGGTGGGGGTTCTAAAGTCAGCAGGAGTGAACCAATGGGGGGGGGG